GGGGGCGGGGCCGGCCTGGAGTTATTGCTTCAAGGGGGGCACTGATGCCCAATGCAGACGAGGAGGGGGAGGGGAGCGGAGGGGGCGGGCTTTTGCGCTCCAAGTCCCCCTCTGCTCTGGAGAGGAGGCAGGGTTAAGCAGCAGCAAAAGCGTCACCCGCTGGGAGACTGTGGCCTCTATACCCTTCCCTCCCTGAGATCAAGCTTGGCCTCCCGCAGCCCCCTATGGCTTCCGCAAGTCCCCCTACACTCCGGGGGCACGTTATGGCTTGCAAGGGGCAGCACTGTGCCCAGAGCCTGGACACACGTTCCCAGCTTCTGACACCCCTGGGAGGGGGGAGGGGAGGGCGTGGGGCTTGCTCCCAGGGGCTGATGGCATTGCCCTGGCCCTGCCAGCAGGCTGCGGCACTGCCCATACCCCAGCTCTGCCCCTCGGGGCTGGCCCCATGCTGGGCAGGTCCTGCCGGCACCCCCACCAGTCCCACCCCTTGCCTCAGTCCATCATGGCCTCGAGCATCTCCAAGAACAACTTGTGCATGGGCACCTTGCCCTCCAGCTTCACCCCATAGAAGTGGGCCAGCACTTTGCCCGCGGTCTGGCGGAGAAGCGGCAGCGTGAGCAAGAGCCTGCCCGCCCGCCGCCGCTCAGCGCCCCCTCCGGGGCCGGCCCGGCCAGCTTCGTATTCCAGCAGGGCCTCGTGCAGGGCTTCTCGCAGCTGCTCCACGGCCTCGGCATCCTCGATGTGCACAGAGTCTGCAAGGAGAGGGGCAAACGCTAGTGGCCTGGGCCATCTCTGGAAAGGGCAGGATCCCCCTCGGGGGCGCTGCCAGACGGGCCTGTGGAGGAGCCGGACGGCTTGCTGACGGGCTGCCGAGGGCTGGCCGAGGGCACCACTCGCTGCTGCAGCCGCAAGCCAGCGCCTGCCCTTTCTCCCTCAACTTGGCTGCCTCCTATCCTCCCGCCATCCCTCCCACTAAACTTGACGTTTGCACAGTAGCATGGCATTAAGGTTCAAAATCCTGTGTGGAGTTCGGGGCCTGCCCTTGGTTTGCTTTGTGACTTTCAGCAAGTCACTGCTCTTCCCTAAGCCGCGCTTTTCCACATCTGCAAAATGGGACTGTGCCACCGCTGCAAGGTCACAAAACGGGGAGGCCTCACGAAGGGACCTGGCCGTGCCCGCCCCAAGTTCTCACCCGAGTTGGCCAGGGCCAGGGCCTTGAGCAGGACATACTCCTCCCGCTCCAGCCGGAGGGCCTGCAGGCGCCGCACCAGCTGCAGCAGGGCGGCCCCCAGCTCCCCCAGGCCAGCTGCCCGGGCCCCCTCTTCGTCCAGGACCAAGTCTTCTGCGAAAGCCAGTTCGTCCTGCAGCGGCAGCGAGCGCTGGGCCACACCCAGCACCAGGACCTCCATCCACACGCTCTGCAGTACCGACATCTGATCAGACAGCGACAGCGACGAGAAGCCTGGGGCAGCGGGGAGCGGCTGAGCAAGGGCACCAGGGCCAGGCGGCCCCGCCCACGCAGGGACGCTCAGGGCTCTGAGCCCTTTACCTGGGATGCTCTTGGCCCAGCTGATGGTGACCACGATTTCCCGGTCAAAGAGGTCGCAGAGGGTTGCCACGGCAGGGAGGTGTCCGTCAGGACCCGCGGGGTCAGGCATGGCATAGAGCTTCTCAGGCTCCACCACCAGCAGATGAGACACCAGTGCGTTCACAGGGGCTGTGGCGACAGTTGGGGACTAGAGTCAGGTGCCCTGGGGTCCATCAGGCCTCGGGTCAGGCGTCTTCCCAGAGCCCCGGGGTCAGTCCCCCGTGGCCTTTGACAGCCACTGGCCAGCCCTGACACTTGTCCAGGGAAAGCCCGTCTGTTGTGGGCAGGCTGTGGGTGCTAGCAAGCCTTTCCCTGTTTGTACTATCTGGCACCTGGCACGGGAAAGCCCATTTGCACGTTTCTTGGGGACGTAGCGCATAGACGAAAGGGAAACTTGGGCCGCGGCGTCCAGTTGCCACACTGGACGAATGACGGCACAGACAGGCCTCTGGGTCCCCAGCCCAGGCCGAGGGCCCTGGGACCCACGGTGCTCTCACCTGTCTTCCGGGGGCCTCCAGCTACTGCCAGGGGCCCGGCAGGGAAGGGGCCGGGGAAGGGCAGCGGGTCCACCTCCGGCCGCCGCTTGTACTTCTGCCGCCCACCGCGCACGCGGTCCAGGCGCACTCCTTGAATTGGACAGATGGGACCGTGTCCGAGGCGCCCTGCCCGTCGCCCATGCAGCCCCCTTTCCCTCCCTGCCGGGCCTTGCCCAGCCCATGCAGCGCCCATGCCCCCCGGCCGTGCCCGACGCTCACCCTCCTTGAGCATGCCCACCCGCAGGCAC